CACACACACACACACACACACACACACACACACACACACACACACACACACACACACACACACACTAATTTCTAACAGACCAGGGTTGGGACAGGGGTAAGATATCAGCTCCATTTTTCTTCTCTGTAAAAGGGAGTAGGGTTAAGATCTTTGGAGATCCCAACAAAGACAAGGAAAGAAAGAAAGGAAATCCTCTGGACAAACATGTATAATGTTGCTACACTCTCTATGCTAAAAAATATTTAACATCTCCTTTTCCCTCTTCTATCAAGTGACTAAGATGACTAACAGTCGGTCTGAATACCAGTTAGACCAGACCTGGTTTCTCTCAAGAATATCAGGTTTATTCCATTTTTAAAAAGGAACATTTTGTTTATTACAAACTCAGGAGTCCTCTGACAAAGGAATTCCCTCATCCCACATTTAAGGCCTTGTCTTTAACCTCCTTCAATGTCAATGCTAAGGGCTTGCTAAATAGCCTTGGTATATAACTGTGTGAGTAACACATACAGCCACTGCTCTAATATAAAGATTAGTGCAGTGGCTGTTCGGAACAGGCCAATAGCTTGGCTTCTAGTTTTGATTATCTGCCAAACAACTTTACATTCACACTGCGCTTCCTTGGGTCCAGAGCAATACATCTACTGTAGCATGACATAGCTGCATCGCCCAGCAGAGCATAAGAATAGATCTCAAGAGCTTGCGCTTAACACTGCACTTCCTTGGGTGCCGAGTAATGCAGCCGCACAGCGGGCAGTCAAACCGAACATCATTATTAAGAAATAGAAAGGACCGTTATACAAACAGATACTCCTTTAACTTTAACTTAAGGCATTAAGACTTATTGTATAGTTAGGACGTGAGAAAAGGTCCACAGCTGGACTCACATTAGGCATCTTTAACCAGCGAGCCCCAGAGACATTTCAGACTTAAAGAATCCCTCCCAGTAAAATAAGCCTCAAGGCTCAGAATTGCATAGTTATGTTGGAGAAAAGGTCATCAAGTCACTGTTTACTCATCTCGAGAAACTAAACAACTAAGTGGACAGTGGATTCAAGACATTGAATGCTAGCGTTGCCTCCTTCTTTGACACTCTTTAGCTCCTATCCCCTGGTACAAGCTCACCTCCCCCACACTGCTGTGTGTTGCATAAGAGCAGACATGCATTACAAATACCTGCATAGACAGCAGAACAGTAATTACAGCTGTGTGTCTGAACCTCTGATACAGACCCACACACAGACACACCTTGGCTCCTCATCCCCTGGAGACACATCACTAACATGTGAAAGCACCGCACTAGTGATGTTGATGAGAGTTACACAATGTAACAACGTATGGCATCGCTAGTGGAATTTGTTTTGTTTTATAAATTAAATGTTAATATAAAGAAAAACATCAGGGTATATGCAGGAACCCTGAAGTCAAATGGAAGACCTTTTAAGACCCTTTCCATACATTTGAAGACCTCATCGTCACTTGGAGTTCTAACCGGTTACATTGGCGACACACTTTACCTCACATTTACTATATACAGTATTGATTGTCCTTCCTCCTTATCTTCCAACCATTTGGACGCAGACGATGTTGTTTAACAACCGGCGTAAACTGACCTTCGCGCTCTATCAAGCAGTGAGCGTGCGATGTCCTGTTCAGATGACGTCAAATCCAACGGGATGCCATAAATAAACTACACAGAATCACACGACATACCTACGCAATGATTACATTCAGGCAGACTGTAGAATACAACCTCTTTGGACCATTTATATACTTATTGAAAACAAGCTACAAAATGTAATACCTTGGAAAATGCACTTTAATACTTCATTTTCGCTAAATAGATTTATCAACTTTTAATACTTTTTAAGACCCAGCGGACACCCTGAACACTTTACAAAACATTTTGACTCTTGATTTCTTGTCATGGGAAGCTTGCAAAACTGTGAATATTCTTGTTGGGAAACACACCTTTCCTCTCCCCAGTGAAGGACACTACATCGTCTCGGTCCTTGTACTCCATGGCTTCCTTCTCCAGGTATTTGAGAAGGCCATCCCTGCTGAAAGTTCCTGTCTCTTGCTTGGTCGTCTGGTCCTTCTGACGCATGCCCGCTGGGAGAAGAGCATTCTGAGGAGAGGAGACAAGGACACATATTAAACCTGTCACCAGATGAAGACTTCAATGCACTCAATATAGAGCATAGACTGTATAAACAGCTTTCTAAATGGGTAAAGGGTTAATGTAAAATGTGGGTTTTTAAGCTGTTTATGTATCTATATGTCTTCAATATGAGTAGAAAATATCCATTGTTGCAATTACATTCATTGTTAACACTGTGAATTGCAACCATGCTGCCCAATTCAGCTCATGTCAGTAGTAGTATAACTCAAACCGTATAGCAAACATTATAAAATAATAAAAAGTAATTATTTAGGTGAGTCAAAACTTGGGGGAAGATACGTGAAAACTTCAGAGCTTTTTTCTGTGAAACTACTTTTTATTAATATGTTCCCACTATAGCTGACTGTTTCCTGTGGGCCACGAGGGGAGGTTTATTTCACTCGGCTTAGATGGAATTTAAATAAAACGCCCAGGCGTCTGGGGGGATTTCATTATACTCTCTTTAGCTCTACTCACAAATAAACACACAAACACTTGGCAGCCTGCAGACAGAGCTGCTGCAGCTGAGAGATGTTTCCAGCATAGAGGCTGGGGACAGGGACGTGTGCAGAGGAGAAATCCACCCTCGATTTGAAGATGTGATGTTCAATGAAACTGTGAGGATGTGATATAATATGTATGTTGATAGACTTATTCTCATTATCATTTCTAGCTACTCACCAATGTCCACTTTCTACAGCTCACTACACTCAACCGGCCTAAACTAGTTTGTACCAGGTAAAACTAGGTGTATTTTTTAAGAAAACTATCTGTGTACCTTATTTGAGAAAATGAATTGCAAATATATTTTTGGACTGCATACATTTCCCATGATTCCCTTTGCCACAGAACTCCCTCCCACTAAAGTGTCCCCCTCACTGTGTGCTGACCTCAGGGTCCATCTCCTCGAGGGCTGTCTCCAGCTGTTTGAGCTCCTCCGCCGACAGGTTGTTGAGGATCTCATCTTCGTCGAGATCCTTGTACTTTTCCAGGTCCTTCTTGAATGACAACGCCATGGTGCGGGCTAAATCTTGCTTTGCAACACTGAACAGCAGACCACAGCCACAATGTTTCCTCTCGAGCTCACGGCTCCGGACCAGGGCGAGGCTACCTGTAGACCAACACACACATACACATTATGATGATGGGGCTTAACATGGGCTTCATTTAGCTGACTTAAACAATGTAACCTAATTATATCCAAACAGAGAGCAATGTTGATCTCCTCCCTGTGAAACAATAGTCGATCAGCAGCTGGGTTGGGTAATGGAGCCTTGCAATGATGCAACACACACACACACACACACACACACACACACACACACACACACACACACACACACACACACACACACACAGCTGGAACAAAGGAAGAACTTTCTCAGGCTCAGAAAATCATCAGACCACTCCCACGGGAATCAGCAACAACTTTGTGGTACTTTGGAAAACATTAACAACTTAAAAGAAGAAGCTTATCCTACGTGGGTCAGGGCTTCGTGGAGTAAACTGTAAGTAGATAAGTTAAGATTAAATAAAGCTGAGATAAGTGGAAGAGTGAGAGATTCAGTGTGCACCCTGTCAAACAAAATGAGGAGGCTCCAGCTCCCTCTCCCACGCCACAGTCCCAACACTCAATGACCTCATGACTCCACAGATGGTTTTATTCCTAATCACACACGCTTCACTTTACACACACACTTCATCTTAGACCACGCTGTCCCAAATATAATCAAGGCAAAAATAAACACTTCTTTTAAGAAAGACAAAGCTTTGTTTTACATTTCAGTTAGTCGACACTTTAATCCAAAGTGTAACTACATACAAGGCAGAGGAATAGTGCACCTCCTATTCACGTCTAGTGAGAAATACAGCAACATCTTTACATTCTGTAACAGCAGAAAGAATAACCTGTGCTTCCAAGGATTCTTTCAACGTTCAGTGCCATTTCCCCGGAGCTGCCCGAGTGGTTTCTTTTCTGAGTTCAGAGGAATTCCCTGAGAGTCTGTTCACTGCTCCACAATCCAGCCTCTGTCCTGGACTAATTCTCCCCCTCATCTCCTCCATTAGACCACTGCAGCAGCTACACACATATATTTCTGAAATGGTTATGAGAGTCATAGCAGGGGCAATTGCAAGCCTGCGAGACAGCAGATGAAGCTGGGCTCAAATGTCAGTGCTGATTACTTTAATCAAACCTTATGATATAATGTGCAACAATAATAATGTCACCCAAATGTTCCACCAGTAATGTAATCAGATAGAGAGTCAGTACAGTACAGTAAGCACAGCACAACTGGGAGGAAGGAGAGCATGGTGCTTCTGAGTGGGATACAAATGTGAAAAATAACTTTTTAACTGAGCATTATATTTGATGGATTAAACGTATCCCATGAATCCGAAACACATGAAAATCATTATGCGTCCACAAAAGCAGTCTTCTGTACTGTGATCGTGGAACAGTGCCAGGAATCGGTTAGCATGACGTCATTCAAAGCCATTGCTCGCATGATTTGGAAAGAAGGAGTTTTGATCATCTTTCATAATCAACACTCAGATGTTCCAGGGACAGGGACAACCCAGGGAGACTTTAATTATCTGAACATTATGACATTTTCCTCCACACCAGTTTAATCTTTGCTAGCCACTGAGAACATAGGAAAAGCAGAAGTTTGAGTCTGACTTCTTTGGCCTAATTTTAATGTAACTTAACCTCATATTGAGCAGAGGGCACAATGAGATGACAACTCTGCTGATGGCAGTCTGGGACAAGTGTTAGATGACACACATGCACATAATGCTCTTATGACAAGGTCAGCTCAAAGTAACACCGTTAACCATCTTATCCTGCTTTCCACTTCCCTGACATAACTCAACGCATTTAAAATGCACCTTTAACAGTAAGGTCCAGTACATTTGAGCGTGCACACAGAAGAGTAATGGAGCATGCAGACAGGGGTAATGATGGCTATGGGTGGGCTGAGGCTGCTGTGGATACACTGAGAGGATCCATTAGTCCGGTCTGATTGATTCCTTTCTCCTTCTCAGCTAATCCTTCAGGACAACAACAGATGGCTCTGAGCCAATAATACACTCACCTTTCACTTACATAAATTGACCAGTTCACTCAGGTACTGTTTGGATAACATAAACATTTTAGTAAGGATTGCAACCTGGCTAATTTAAGTAACACTTTAAGATGCATGATCCCATTTACAAAGTTAAATCAAGCCTTTACAGAAAAATCTCATCTACTGTTTGTCTGCATAAAGAACAAATAAACTGCAATTGTATCCTTGATTGTGCATAGCCTGTTATAAAGTTAAACTATAAGTATGAATCAAAATATGTTTCTTTCCTGGGCAAATTATTGGCAATGTTCATTAAGAAATAAAGTCACAGAATAGGCCTATGATTTTGTTTTTTAATCCTCATTTTGATGTCAATTTCCATGATTAACACATAGCTAAAGAATGCAAGTGCATTAGTTTGTAAAAGACTATCGTAAAAAACGAAACTTAAAATATATATATAATTATTTCTCTATTGGTATTGAGTTTAATTTGGCTCAATAAAAAAATGTCGGAAGAAATATGAAATGGTTTATTCAATGAGTATTGGGTTTTATAATGAAACCAGCATCAAGCCAAAGTGAGTACACTTTAATAAATTATTCTTTATTGCATGATATCTCATAATCACAATATTCAAATAAGTAATTGCATATTTTTTATTATATCATGTAACCCTATTAAGTAAATTAAAAGAGGAGAAAAAGACATACTACATTTATCTCCATCAAGTATAGCTTTTGCTACCAATATCCAGGTTGTTTTAGATCCCTGAGGCAGAAGCTGTAGGAAAAATTACTCGCAGATCAGAGATGTACAGGAAGCCCTAACTGGTTATTATTATATTATTATAGAGCACCGCCCAGTCAACCCACAAAAAGACTATAGTTGGAATGGCCCAGCTCTGCTACCCATGGGACAAGAGTCTGCACTTCCTCCTACCACCTACCTACTCTACACTTTAATTCTCCACCATTCTGTCTCTCCTCCCTGTTGTAACTTAGTTCTCCTCAATCCTTTTAATCATCCCCCCCACTGAGGTGCCTGGAAGTGTCAGAAATGATAGAGGACACATGGAGAGAGAAATATAGCAACAGAGGGTCTAATCACACCGTCCCTATGGTATGTTCACTATAATACATGAACAAGTAAAAACAATAAGAACATATAGGTGTCCCTAAAAGTACAAGTGTTTACATATCAGTGGACATTTTTGTATTTTACGTGTGGTAATATAAACACATGTCAGAAAAAGAAAACAACAATCATTCATGTAGTTAATTCACTTAAGCATGTTGTGTCCCTCCAACTTGTGTATAAGGGCCAGACAGGAAGTGGGGTGTTTCTCAAACAAACACACACTATTAGCAAACTACACCGTTTCAATGACACACTCCAGACACACACCATTAATACATAATGAGAACACATTTTAAGTTGTGCCTTGACTCATCTTGAGAAGGTCTTGCCCTGACTTGACTATGAATGATGCCGTCCAAGAACAGTGACCCCTTTTTTACGCATTTGTAAAAAATGTAAAGACAGATGTTAATCGCTACTGTGACTGTAGAACATCCATAACATTCATCTGGCTGCAACTTAAAAATTATGTATCTAATATATCATATTCCAATCACTTGTATATAGACTCTTATTGCACTATTTCACTATTTATTTTGTATTTACTTGCACTATTTTTCAGTTGTATTGTGTTGCACTGTTGGTGGAGCCTGTGACCTAAGATTTTCATCGACATAACTACACTGTAGCTATGTAGTATGACAAATAAAAGCCTTGAATAACATCAAGGGTGAAACAACGCACACATAGCCAGGTTTCACTCACACAGTGAAAGGTAAGCAGGAAACAAAATCCTGTGTGATGAGCCTGTTTATCTGCAATACTGCAGTGCAGTGTTGTAGGCACTGGCAGTATCAACACAAATGCCATCTCAGCAGTCACTAGGACATTCCTCAGTTACCTGCTGCACCCCTTCAGCAGGGCAACCTAGCTTCAGGCTTCCAAAAGCAGACGTCCTCCTTAAGACTTGGACCACACCCTTCATTCACCATTGAGCCCTGCTGGTCAAACTAACTTTGTGAACTCACAAATACACATCCATGTTAGCTTCGACACAAAGAATGTGCCTGTGGTAGACTCAGTGACACATGTACAAAGACCTTGCACCTATCAAACAAGAAGAACTGCTGCTAAAGCCACATCCTTTTACCTCACCGTCCACACTGGTGTGAGTCACCCCACCAAAACTACGTCCTTAAAAAAGACTGAAACTCTTGTCTTAGTAAAGCAGACAATCGAGGTATTGATGTCCTGGCTGTCAACGCATTCAGGCGGACAGGGAGGGGCTGAGACGCATTTTTCTTATATTGTTCTTACAATTTGGCACAGTATTACACAACAAAACAAGAACTAGCAGATCATTCGAGGATACTTTATACTGCATAGCACCAACATATCATACCGTACTACTTATATTATATTCACGTCAATGTCTTTCTTTGGTGGTAAATTAACAGCCCTAACTGATATACAATAATGGTTTCATCCATCTCTTGTGGACAAATCGTAACGGTGTTAGCTAACTCGATCTTGACATGTTTATGATTACAACACTTACAGTAAGCGTGTTGATAGTGATTAACATCGCCAGGTAAAACACAACACACGTTAACTGTTAAGCAGTTTATTTGAATACAGTTTGGTAACTTAGCTACATTTGAGTTGGATGCAGTAACACCATGCGAAACAGCCCTATGACATGTAGCAGCTAACAGGCTAACAGTGGACTCAAGTTGATAGCCGTTTAGCTAAACCAGCACAAGTGACAGTATGTTGAACAGTACGGTTAGCAAGTTCGCTGAATTCACATACTAACTCTAACCCCGCGAAGTATTTATTTTCTTACCTGAGGCTAATGGGACCAAACAAAAAAATCTCCAAATATCGCCAATCTTCCCAATGAAAGCGATGTCTCCAGTGCTTGATTTCTCACTCAGCCCAAGGGCGGTAACACAGGAAAGGAGAACCAGAGCACGTCGAGTGACGTCTGAATTACCCAATAGGCAGAGATTATTTTGGGTGGTAACCAATAGCGTACATTGTCCCGCCCTTTTGCACCGAAACGGACAAATTAGATGAGAGATCGGAAATATAATAAAGTTTCCAAAGTGCAATACTTTATTACTTTTACTTACATTTTCCCTTTATTCATATCCAGTTATCAAAGCACGAAAGGCTTTAGAAATATATATTAAAAAAGATAACATTATTTTAAAAAAATTAATTCATTAATCATTATTACAATGACTTACATAATCAATTATATGACCACGAGAAGCAGTTATAGGCCCATGAAAAAACTGGTAGGTGGACCTTGAGTTAAGAAATTTAATTTTGCCCCACCTACTAAACATTACACTATTATGAGATGAGATGGGTGCAACCTAAAAGTAAGGCTTACAGAACATTTCATTTTTATCAGAATAAACCAACAGCCCACTTAAAATAGAGGAATAAGATAAGATATACTTTATTGATCCCAAATTATAATAATATGTACAGTTTTGTGATATATGGTATAGCCCAAAATTACATTTTGCACGAACAACCGACCCCCATTGTTATATTGAAAAGGAGTACAAAGAAAGGTTGAGTGTATTAAGTTTATTTTCTTACGGCAAAATGTTAATGTTTGAAGTGAAGTCTGTTCATGCATAAAAAAAGATGCAAAGCATTTTCCATAGTGCCAAGAAGTGAACCACAAATACCAAAGACCAGACCGACAATATAAACACATGCAAAACTAGAGCATTTCTATCTCTTTTTGTCGTTCGCTACCTCTTTCAAAAAAATATACAGTGTCCAGTACACTATAAAACTTAAATTAACTTTGATTTAACACTAGTGATGTTGAAATATCAAGATAGAGGGCTGCTCGTTCTTTTCTTTTTTTCACAATAGAGGAGATAGGATGTCTTGTGCCCAGACAGTTCACATACTGTGCACTGTTACAAGATCCCTAGCATGTAACACTACACATAAACTACAATCCACTAGAGGGGTTGTTATGTACTAAAGACATCTTTACTGTCATTTTAATCCAGTTTTACAACAAAGGATAAATGTAAATACAGTAGACCTCTGTCTGCAGTAATGGCTGAAGGTGAAGACAGGGTTTACTGCAGCATGATGTCGATAATGTTTTTTTTTAACCAATAATTTGCGGTTTTCTGGCCCACAAAGATAATTCATGTGCACAACATGATTACAAGCATAGGGTACATCAAACAAATATATTTAAAATTAACCAATAACTTGAAAAAAAAACATTTTTAATCTAGTCATGACATTGCAAATATTTCACAAATGAAATATAGATGTACTTTATTATACTTTGAAATGCAATAGGCCTAAAGGATTTGCTTTTCGTCTGTTAGGCGTACACATTCATAAACGTTTTAGCAGCTTCATTATTTTCAATCAAATAATGGTATACCATCCTCATAAGGTTTGAAATGTTAAGAATTTAGTTTTACTGTTAAATTGTTTTCTCAGTTTCTTTGCATACGTCTTTGTTGCTGACCATACCCTTTTCGTAATAAACTGTATATTATTTTAGTATAGTATAAGTGATAGGAAAGTGAAGGAAACTGGGGAGAAAGAAAATCTGAAATGTTCTTCAAACAAGATAGATTATAGGCTACAGCTGGAAAAACAAGATAGATACATAGCATTATACAGCTGGAAAAATATATATAAATAAACTGAAATATATTGTTTAAATATGAAATGTTTGCATTTATTGGAGGATTACATGTTGAGAGAGACCAGCAGAGCCTTAGAGTTTACTGTGGTGTGTACCCTTGATGTTTTAGTGTGTACCCCCTTCTTGTGGCTGACTTCGCTCACTACACAAACATGCCCGCCCGGATTGAACTCGGAAACAAAACCATCCCTCGGAGCCGGCGATCATTTCCTGTTAGGTCACATTGTTGCTGCCACAGTTTGGAAGAAATGGCGGACATGGATGAATTGTTCGGGAGTGATGGGGACAGCGACAATGAGCAGCGAGGTAAAACTGTCTCTCAGTCGGTGAAAATAGTATTTATTGATTAATCTAGTTTATAGCGATGTCGAGTGTTTCCCGATGCTAACCACGTTAGCATTAGCTCTGCCCGAACATTACCCCGGTGTAACTAACGGTGTCGGTATCTAATATTATTTAAAAGCTAGCTATATAAGAAACGAGTCAACGTTTATTCTTTAGTTTGCATTAAAAAGCTAGCTCTCTGTATTTGTATGAACAAGCGTATTTAGCTGAGCTGCAACAACAGTGCAGTTTGTATCTCCAGCACATGCTCTCATCAGCCAAACAACACTTAGCTTTGTTAGTTTGGCCAGTGGAAAAACAAGCGGGTGAAAAAACGCTCTAACTGCTTAAATCTTGTATTAAGATTTTATTTATTCAATTCCAAAATGTCAACACTACAAAGGTTAAAAATAACCTAGTACTTATTTCACAGACATAATCAGAATAGGCCTACCTGTATTAGTCCCACAGAAGGGAACTTTACATTGTTATGGCAAAAACAAGAGGCAATTTAAATAAGAGGCATGCATAATATATTAAAGATGGAAATTAAACAAATTACCATTTACAAAAGTACCGTTCCAGGTTATCTAGTAACAGTATTTAAAAAAAATACATAATAATAATACGTTTAGTAGTATCAACCAAATCACATGCAATATTACAAACACCTGTTGCAGATTTATTTAAATGTTTCTTAAAATGCACCAACCAGCGATTTACGTTTCATTTTTTTATATTGTTATACACCCAATTTCCACTTAGAGTTTTCATTTTTTAGTTGTAAGGCTTTTATTCTTTATTTAAGTTCTTGACAGTACTCTGCATGTATTTATTTGTTCCTCTTGTTATGGTTGGTGTACCAAATACTAAGGCACATTTGTTTAAATCTTAAACACTAGGCATACTTGGCAATACACATTATTCTGGTTTTGATTCTGATATGTACACCTGTACCATTTTTAATAACGTCTATTGGTGTTGATATTGATATAGAACTGTGCGAGAGCAATTAGGATGAGCTACACTCTGTCCCAGAATAAATAATGAATGCTCATTGCTTTATTGTGTTTCAGCAGTGTCTGGCTCTGGCTCAGGTTCAGACTCGGAGCAGGAGAGACCCCGATCCGCCAGCAACGCCTCGGGCAGCGGCAGCGGCAGTGAGAGGGAACAGGACGATGACGATGAGGATGGCCGGGAGACAGGAAAAGCCAGCATTAATAAGGTGTGTGTTTGAAGAATGACACTCTTTGTGGGTTTACTCTGACCCCTGTCCAATAATCACTCAAACATTTACTATCATTTAATAATATGTTTAGAATAGCTAATAAATCCAACAGCCCGACGACATTAACGGTTAGTTCAACTTTTCTGTCTGACGTTCCTATTTTATCGTGTCTGGTTTTTATATCTGAGACATTAGAGTCTAGACTAAGGCGTAACTGCTTGGAAAAAGGTTTAATTGCGCTTGTTTTGACAAATATGCAATTGCATATTTGAGTGATCTTTTTTGCATCATTATCCTCGTTTTTTATATTAAAATGTAATGGTTTGATTTTTTTAAATGGAGATCTGTTCCAAACAAATACATTCTTGTAAGTGTGCAGAATATAGTTTGTAGCCTGGGACATCTTTGCAGCAAAATGTAGTGTATTTTGAATCAAATAATAAAGCTCCTGCAATTTGGTTATTTTACAAGTTACATTGCAACTTTGACAAAATTCTGATTTATTGTTCAGCCTTAACTTGACTGCTTATTATCAAAAGAGTAGGGGAAAATATGAAACCCTGAATACATGTCATATGTATTGCATGTATAATCACAGAAATGTAAATAAAGTGTGTAAGCCAATTAGAAAAAGGTTAAAAGCAGACACATTTGGAGATTCTGCTGACCATAGAATTAAAACCCTAACCCTAACTATGGACTGGTAATAAATACTGATTTATACTACGACTTTATTACGATTTACTGCCAGTATCAGCTATTAAGTTTTTTTTTTACATTATGTCCACCCCACCTTCTGACACCAGGGGTCAGCCATCATGGATAAAGTTCTACCCTACTAGAACCACTGATTGATTTATAATCATTGTGTACTCCTCTCTCACATCTAACTTACATTTATTTCAACCTAATAGGAGCTGTTTGGAGACGACAGTGAGGACGAGCAGCGCAGTCAGCACAGTGCTCGCAGTCAGCACAGTCCTCGCAGTCAGCACAGTCCTCGCAGTCAGCACAGTGCTCGCAGTCAGCACAGTCCTCGCAGTCAGCACAGTCCTCGCAGTCAGCACAGTCCTCGCAGTCAGCACAGCGGCAGCGACAACCAGTCTGAGCGCTCAGGGAACCAGTCAGAGGCCAGCATGCACTCAGACCAGGGGGATCACTCCGAAGCAGAGCAGCACAGTGGCGCAGAGCACCACAGTGGCGCAGAGCAGCACAGCGGCTCAGAGCGCGGCCGTCGAGACGAGGATGAAGACGAGGAGGAGAGGGGCCACCAGTCGGACAGAGGAAGCCCGGCTGGCAGCGCGATGTCTGGAAGGGGAAGCCCTCGCTCCGAGAGAGGCAGTGCCCGTTCAGACAGAAGGTGAGCCAACACACACTGGATTTGCTTCATTATTAAACTGAAATAACATGACATGATGCCAGAGGGGACCCCAACTAAAACACAGTACTTTAGTTAAGTATAACAATGCCAAGCGATTATGCGACCTTTTAACACTGTCTAAGAACATGTACTTGTGTTTATTCATCTATCAAAAGTCCATCCTGTGTAGTCAGAAGACCTGATTTTAATTTCATCCAAATGTATTTTTATATCCAGTGTGCACAGCGAACCTGGGACTCCGCAGTCAGCGCCAGGCACACCTCACAGTGATGGAGAAGCTTCTGCCAGGGAGAACCAGTCAGAGGATGAGAAGTGG